AGTGTCCACATAAAGCCGCGGGATGATCTCAGTCCGACGATAAGCTATCGGTGTTAATGGCACGGGTGCGTCTGGAAGCTGTAGCGTTAACCGTTTCGTTGCCTCTCTCTGGTGTTTGTGTGTGCAAAGGTCAGATGTTTCCATCGGTTGTGAAGAAGAGGAGTGGAGTCGGGACCTGCTAAGTGCTGATCTGCTTGTGCTCCGGACCATGGACTCATTGAGGGCGTCCCAGGTGTGAAAATGTCCAGCGGTAACCGGGAGTTAGTGATTGACTTTGTTTCCTACAAGCTCTCGCAGAAGGGACACAGCTGGAGTCAGCTGGAGGAGGAGGATGAGAACAGGACTGACTTTGCAGCGGAGGAGGCCGAGATGGACGGCGTCCTCAACGGGAGCCCCTCCTGGCACCTCACCGCCAGCCACGTCGTGAACGGAGCCACCGTGCACCGGAGCAGCCTCGAAGTCCACGACATCGTTCAAGCAGCTGACGTGAGGCAGGCGCTGAGAGAGGCGGGGGATGAGTTTGAGCTGAGGTACCGGCGGGCTTTCGACGACCTCACTTCCCAGCTCCACATCACCCCCGGCACGGCGTACCAGAGCTTTGAGCAGGTCGTGAACGAACTTTTCCGCGATGGAGTGAACTGGGGTCGCATCGTGGCTTTCTTCTCCTTCGGAGGAGCCTTGTGTGTGGAGAGCGTTGACAAGGAGATGCGGGTATTGGTGGGACGCATTGTGTCTTGGATGACCACGTACTTGACCGACCACCTAGATCCCTGGATCCAGGAGAATGGCGGATGGGTAAGAACTCCTCTCTCCGGTGGGGATGGCTGCCCCTGTCCTCCCTTGCTCCGGTCTGGCAGTGGTGCTGGTCAAACCAGAGGGCAGCTCCCTGCCATGTTTATGCTGGTGCGGGTCCCAGGCCTTGCTGGTGCATGTCCTAGACCTTGCTGGTGCGGGTCCTAGACCTTGCTGGGAGATAAAGGGGCGTGTGGCCTTTCCCTCTGTGCTCTTAACGCTCAGTCCCCAGAGGGTCAGCCCACCGCAGTGACACAGTTTGTGCTCAGACGTGTCCTTCTCCATCCCAGTTTCTTCTTCTTCTCCCTGTGTGTTACATAAAAGACTTGTTTTCCAGGAGCCTTTGGAAATTTAATGTCATTCAAGCTTGTTCTTCAAGCGCCAGCCCTGGCTCTGGGGCGTGTTCCTGGTGTCATTTAACAGCAGGGAGTGGAGCTTCCTCCTCTCTCAGGGCCGTGCTCCGGCGGGCCGGCCTGCGGGCTGCCCGGGTAGCAGCTACTTCTTCATTCTGGAGACGGGGCTTTGCCTTCCACCGGGCTCACGAATCCCGCAGCAGATCCTGGTGGCTGCTGGGCCAGTCCGAGCTGGTGCGGT